CCCCAAAACCCCAAAACCCCAAAACCCCGTTAAGAAAAATGCACTAAAAAGTTAAGAAATGAAAATAGAGGTTGCAGTATAATAATGATAGATAGTATTTATTAGAATTTATAATTGAATGCTTCAATAATTTATAGCAAATCTCGCCAATACAATATTTAATAATACTTACTGCAGAGTAAAACCTATGTCAGGATCTTTCAATGATTAGACCCCAAGAGACCTACAAAAAATGCTCTAGGAGAGTAGAAGATCTGAGTTAATTTCATTTTTAAAGGTTATCTAGCTTATTGCTCTCATTATGAGTGTTTATCGATATTTGTTCGGTGATGATATAAGTTAGGAGCCAATAAGAGATACTGCAGTAATTCGGCCATTGATTTCTGTCATTATTGCACAAGGACTTAAATGTAGTGCTAAAAAGAGTGCAGAAAAGCTTAATTTGATTGGGATACTTATCATTAATATGAGTGCATTTATGTTTTTCACTATGCAATTCAATCTTATAAATTATACAAAAAAATATTAGCTTTATGATTAGTAAGAGATTTCATTTATTTGATTATTTTTAGGAGCTATATCTACATGATTTTACAAATATATATGGTGATACTTATTGATGTTTCTTGGAAAATTGTATTTGGGAATTTTGCACTCTTATATGGATACTACATTATGCATCATTATTTTATTTTGAGTTGTGAAAAAATTTCAGGCAATCTATTTTTGGGTATTCTAGTTTACCTTTTCATTGTGGCAAAGATTTTATTTTTCAAAGAGCAATTGCAAAACTAGGTTTATGACTTGTTTAAACAAGTAGTAGATGTAAGGATTTAAGCGAATCATAGTACAATAAATCATTTTAGGCTGAAACTAATATAAAGAATGTGCTTGACATACTTCCAGAAGGCATAATAATATTTGATTAAAATTTTAGTACTATTCAATATGCCAATAATTCAATGTTCAAAATTGCTTTCCAAAGAGAGCAGTAAATTGAAAATTCTTAGCAAAGTACATCAAGAGTGTAAGTGATAATGATAAGCTTAGCTATAATTACTTATTGATTTTTTCTATAGCAAAGATAACTTTTCCTAATAATAACATCTCTCTAATAAAAATAACGACTTTAATGAATTATTAACAGAAGTTCTAAATTGGAGAGTAAAACTTTAAGAGGCCAAAATCCATACTTTACCTTCAAACGGATCCTTTCTAGATTTTTCAAAGTCCATGCGATAAAAATAATGTTTTTAGGTGAAAATTCGGAAGCCTATGAGTATTTTAGTTGAGATATAAGTATAAAATTTTAACAAATGCTCTTAAAAATTAGTAATGATTCGAGATATCACAGTGTTCAAATAAAAGGAATAGGCTCAAGCTGAAAAATAAGTTTAAACTGTACTATTTGCCTCAGTCGCCCATGACATAAGAACCCCTCTAAATTCACTTTTGGCCTCAAATACTTCATTGATTTCAAGTTTTTATGACTAACCAATTAACCAATAAATTCATAAAAGCCTTCTTATTTAAAAAAGCAGTATTTAATTTCTAATAAATATCGTAGAAGACATTTTAGATCTCTCAAAATTTCAACTTGGTAATTTTCAATTAAGCAATTCTTGGTTCTCTTTTCATCAAGTTGTTGAGGAGATATTTGAGATGAGTGAATTTTTAGCTAGCTAGAAAAAAATAAAATTAATCTAAATTCTAGAAATAAATCAAAATGTTCAGATTTTCTCAGACAAGAAAAGACTAAAGCAAGTACTAGTAAATTTAGTAAACAACGCAATAAAATTTACTCAAAAAGGATTTGTGAAGGTCAGAGCCTATTTTAGACCTTGTGATGAACTATTAATAGCAGATTGCACCCAAAAATTTTCTGAAAAGATAAGCCTTATAGATTTGGATAGAGATTAAAGTATTGATGACTTGTCGCCTATGATGGCAAGTATAAGCGAAATCTATAACTATAATTCAAATAATAGAGTATAATCTTAAACTATACCTTTGATTAAAAGAGGAGAGCTTGTTGTTTAAGTCATTGACTCAGGAGTCGGAATAAATAAGAATGATTAAGAAAATTTGTTCAAGATCTTTGGAAAAAATAAAACTTCTCAGCACATCAGTTAATAAGGAGTTGGTCTAGGATTAAATATTTGCCAGAGAATTTGCGAAAATTTAGGAGGGAAAATAAAAATGGAATCATAGGAGAATGTAGGATCTACTTTTACATTTAATATCATCATAGATTAACTGAGATAAGTAGAATCAGTATTGAATTCTGATGATACATTGGCAGATAAGTATTAACGGTCTCTGATGATGTAAAACCCATTTAGTCTCTCTCAGAATAACATGCATAACTCCTCATTTGTTTCAGCAGAAACTCGTTTATCTCTTACATAAAGGATTAACCCTAAAAGAAATTTACTATGCTTAGATGACTGTTTTAGTGCTTTAATCATTGATGACAATCATTTTAATATCATGGCCATGAATCTCATGCTAGAACAAATATATAAAAACCTTTAGGTTGAATTTTAGCCATCAATAGAATCAGCAGTAGATGGCCAAGATGGTCTTTAAAAAATGAAACTAGATGGCATCTAAAAATGCTGTGACCGAGTATTTAAGTTAATAATAGTGGACATGAACATGCCTGTAATGAGTGGAATTGAAATGATGAAGCACGTCAGAGATTCATAAAAGATTCATGGATACTTCAAAGCCTATGCTAACTCCACATTCGTCTTGTGCACTGCTTAAAATGAAATGATTGAGTAAAACTTCGAAGAGTTAGGTTTTGATTATTTCAGTAAGTAACAGATATTATGTTTGTGTAAATAAATTTCTTATAGTTCCGAAACCGATTGATATACAGCAGCTATAGAGGATAGTATCAAGCACTATGAATATATGAGAATTAAATCATTTTAAAAGACAGCAAGACTAATAAAAAGTTTATAACATGATTAATTATTGTTTGAAACCTATTATTTAATTTCATAATTTCTATTATTTTTACCTTTTGGGGTTTTGGGGTTTTGGGGTTTTGGGG